ATCTCGGGAAACGGAGAGATTTTTTCATAACCTACATAGAAAATGCAAACACGAGCAAAACGGAAGCTGTCACTATCGAAAACAAATGTATATATGTATATTATCGTATGGGTGTGTGCGTATCATATATACACTCACACATGTATTCGAAATAAAAATACGAAACGCACATGACGTGTGAGACGGGTGGGGGACTCTCCACTGCTGCTCTCTAACCTAGAAAATTGGTTTTTTGGAAAATTTCGAAAGGAAAACGCTCGAATACGTGTGTTTGTGTGTGCGCGCTTGATGTGCAAAATCCACGGCACGCGCGTTTATGTAATGCAATTAATTTTTTCGATCGTTGTTGTTGTTTCTTAATGTTTCCTCTCTCACTAAGGAGGAATATATGCGATAGAATGAGCGAGAGAATGATATATTTAGTGAGGGGGACCGACTTACCTTCTGATTATCGTCCGTGTGAAATGCGTCGGGTATGATGATAAATCCGTGGACTATTTTTACACAACAAATATAAACATAAAACATTTTCCGTTTTCCCCGTTTTCGTCAGCACTGAACCAGCAGCAACTTCATCATCAACATCATCATGATCGTCGTCGTCGTCGTCGTGGCCGCACTCACAGAAATACAACACACTAAACACTGCTGCCCGCCAGCACACACACAACACCACTCACGCGCGCCTACCTCTCCTCCTCTTCCACCGGATCCGAAGAGAAGAAAGACGATCGTACCGAACGAACTCTGCTGCTCCGCTCCACCGATGTTGCTGCTGCTACACTCCTTCAGCCTCGCAGCACTACTGCTGCTGCTTCTGACGACGATGATGATGATGACCGTTTCCTCAACAAGGAATCGCGATGACAACAGTAGATGAGGATCGTCGTCAAGGAGAGCAAACGCCTGCTCGGATCCACGCTGTAAAACGATTAATATTACCGAAAATTCTTGTTTGTGCGTGTGTATATACTGACGTTACGTTTAATCCACTACTGCCGTTGTTTACTATCTTCTCTCTCACTTTCTGTTTTGCTCGCTCCAGTCTTATTCTTTCGAGGGGTTGTTGCTGTTGCTGCTGCTGCTGCTGCCGCTGTTGTTGTCGTTTGATGGAGCGGAAATGAATAGGAGAGGTGCGAGAGCGAATGAGGAGCGGGAGTGGGGATGGACGGACCGAGTGTTGTCCCGAAAAAAAAAAGAAAAAAGGTGGCTAATAATCGGAATGAATGAATGGGATAGAAAATGTAATGATATAAGTGCGTTCGGTGGGAGGGAATTGAAAAGGGTCCAGCGGTGGGGGTAGATGTTGTGTTAGGGGGGCAAAAATAATAAATAAATAAGAGATGGAACGAAACTCGGCTGCTGCAGCTCGCCTCCACCACCACCACCGTCGTCGTCGTCGTAGTCTCTGCTACTGCTCTCGCTACTAATAATAATAATGATGATGATTGTGTTTGCAACAATAATAATGTTAAATGACAAAGACGGCGATATGAAGCGCGAAGTGTGTGTTTGTGAAAGAGAGAGAGATAAAGATAGAAGGACGCAAAGGAAGAGCGCGTCGTTGTACGTGTATTCAGCCGACCGTCGCCATGAGACAGGCACACACTGAACGAGGAACAACCAAGGAACGGGCTCAGGGCAGGAGGCAGCAAGAGGAGGCCTTGCTGGCTGCCTGCGGCCGGCCGAACGTGACATAGAAAAGCGCACGATCGACGCGCTACCTGCCGGACGGAACGCGCGCGACAATCGAACAAACGTCAACGTTTAAACAATTTCGATTAGCGAATGTCTCAATCGTTCAATTCGAATAAAATACACACACATACCTATCCATATCCTCCAACATTCCTGTATTCTCTGATATAAGTTTCCATTTTCGCTGTAGATCGTCTCCAACGTACGTACGGGGTGGACGAACGCGAAGTGCGAATTATCACTAAACTGCACTAAACGATTAAGTGGTGCAAACTTTGTGCGATTAAAATTGCTGATCTAAACTGAAACAAAAAAAAAACAAACTTAAATTTGACGTTTCAAAAATTGTTTTAAAATATTTAAATATGTTGGCCTAAAGGCAATTTCTTTTCAAATAAATGTTATAAAAGTAAAGAGCAGATAAATATACCTGGTATAGTACGGCTTCGATCAGTCCGGATCTACAATTGTAGAAAACTTCAATACAAATTATTCCTGCATGTTCGCAATGCAACTAGATAATGATTAAGTATTGCAAACTTTAAGCGATTAAAATTGCTGCTCTAAACTGAAACAAAAAAACAAAACAAAAATCAAACTTAAATTTGACGTTTCAAAAATTGTTTTAAAATATTTAAATATGTTGGCCTAAAGGTAATACACGTTATAAAATACACGTTATAAAAGTAAAGAGCTGATAAATATACCTGGTATAGTACGGCTTCGATCAGTGCGGATCTGTTATTGTTGAAAACTTAAAAACAAATTCTTCTTGCATGTTCGCAATGCAACTAGAAAACGATTAAATGTTGCAAACTTTAAGCGATTAAAATTGCTGCTCTAAACTAAAACAAACAAAAAAACAAAAATCAAACTTAAATTTGACGTTTCAAAAATTGTTTTAAAATATTTAAATATGTTGGCCTAAAGGTAATTTCTTTTCAAATAAACGTTATAAAAGTAAAGAGCAGATAAATATACCTGGTATAGTATGGCTTCGATCAGTGCGGATCTGTTATTGTTGAAAACTTAAAAAACAAATTCTTCTTGCATGTTCGCAATGCAACTAGAAAATGATTAAGTATTGCAAACTTTATACGATTAAAATTGCTGCTCTAAACTAAAACAAAACAAACTTAAATTTGACGTTTCAAAAATTGTTTTAAAATATTTAAAGATGTCGGTTTAAAGACAATTTCTCTTCAAATAAACGTTATAAAAGTAAAGAGCAGTTAAATATACTTGGTATATATAGTACGGCTTCGATCAGTCCGGATCTACTATTGTAGAAAACTTCAAAACAAATTATAAGTGGTGCAAACTGTATACAATTAAAATTACTGTTTTAAACCAAAAACAATCGAGATTCAAAATCTGATATTTACAAATTTCTTTTGAAAAATTTCAAATAAACGTATTAAACGTAAACGTGCGTTGTTTAGACGAATGAATATTGCTGTACAAGTTTGTTTATTGCTTTTATTTTTATTGCGTCTAGTAAAATATATAACCCTTGGTGAAAATATTGAGGAAAAAACTAAATCGTAAATCACAATTCAATAGGTTTCTTACCAAAAGCGACTAACTCTCAGGTATAACTTATATCGGCAATAAACCAACAAATCGTTTAAACTGTGAAGAAAGTTAAATCCTTGTCAATAGAAAGTGAAAACAGATTTTAAGCGAATCACCCTGTATGTGTAAATTTATATGTGGGTTTGTAAGTGTGCTACAAAAGGAAAGAGTTGGCAAACTACAAAGACTGCCGCCGCCGCCGCCTCTTAAATGACACCTCCACTATAAAAGGATCGGGGGCGGCTGTGGTGGCGGCGGCGGCTTTTGTGGCACGTGATCCACGTTAAATCGTCGTCGTCGGCGGCGGCTGTGATCGTTGCACACAGAAGCGCACCCCTTCGGCCAATTTTCTGACCGCTTTCCATATGTTCCCTTTGATCTTCGCCGAATCAAAAGGAATGAAAGCGTGCCCGACCACACGGACCCCCCGCATCGCACCGCACCTCACCCGCCGCCCCTAATCAAATGAATAAATATCAAACCGAGCGGGCTAATAAAATGAATAACTCCGTCGATTTACTCCTATAAACTGTTTTGCCACCCTCTCGACACGACGCCAACAGAAAAAAATAAAATCAGAGTGTATAAATAAAAGATCAAAGAGTGTGCAAAACAAACGATAAAACAGCATCGGCGAAAAACAATGATCGGCATCTGTTGGCTCGGTCTAAATGAATTGAAAACTGTTAGAAGCGAACATTTAAGACCGTAATTGACTTTCTGGTAATTGACCAGAGAATACCGTTAAAGAAGATTGCAGGTAGCTGTGATTTACAACGTGCAAGAAGGAGGATGAGTAAAGAAAAAAAAAGTTGGACGTCGCTTTTGCCTTGAAGAATACCTCGAAATAAGAAACAACCGACGAACTGTTGTCAACCGACAAAGTGAAAGTCCGACGTCGGCCGCCTTTGATCCGCACCCTCTTCTACACATACACCGCAGCAGCACACCCCCTTCGCCTTAACACCAAAAGACGACGACGACTACGGATTCCACAGTAAATAATATTGGAATTGTTGACGAATTGAGAAAATGGGAACGTCGCTCGAGATCGCTTAATTCACGCGAACGATTGTTTGTTTTGGCTAAGATGAAATTGGGAAAACAGGCGATTAAGAATGGTCGTGGCGTCGCGTTCGCCCGAATTTATTGTCGGCCAAGTGAATTTGTTTGCATTCTATTGTCAAAACCGAACGCGATTTATCGCATTATTATTCGCGAAATCCGCGAAAACAAAAGAACAACAGAAATAGAAACATGATGATGATTTGCCAACTGAACGAAAAAAAAAGTTTTTATTGTTTTGTCTTTATTTAATTAGTTGCATTATCAATTGATTGATAATGATGTTGGCAATTCGTTGACGTACGTCAAGATCGTGTCATGTGGTGCGGGTAGGGTTGGGGTTTAGCAGGATGCAGCAGGAAGAACGCAGCAGGTTCAAGAGGAGGCCATCCGACGTGAAGAAGTGCGGTTACGAGTCGTGCTTTTTAGGTTTTCCCGGCACCTCCGCCGCCGGACAGGATCCACTCGGATTCACTGTGGTCTACGAGCCGGAGGGTGTCGCCAGTTCGTTCGCTGCACCTCTTCAAGTCCACAGCAAGCATTACGACATCGACAACATCAGGCGCGAAGCGAAATACTTCAACTCGATTACAGACGATGATTACTATTACGAATACGAGATGGACGACGTCGTCGCCGTGTGCCCCAGTTGCTTTCACGAGGCCTGCATCTGCAGGAAATATCAGCTGGAGTCGCTCTATTCGGGAAGCAGACTTCGCTCGGAGCCGACGACGGACACCTCGTGCACCTGTCTGATGCAGCCGGAGAAACCGAACGATTACAACACGGACAAGGCGACTCTGGCGAACTTCTCCAAAGACGCGCAGACGGGCACCAGACTCGTCGAGTACTCGGGGTCGAGCGTCTCCTCGAAGGAGAAGAGACGCGATCATCAGCAGGTCTACGATTCGTTCACGGTCGAGGAGTGGATCGCGTTCGAGGAGATGAATCAGGAGAACGTTAGGAAATTGATGGCATCAAGGGAATTCGTTGTAGTCGATGGTGAAGGCAGTAAAGTTAACTTCACGGACGGTACTTCGTCAGCTGGAATTTTAGCTGTGAATGGAACTTGCTCGACCGGAGACGTGGAGATGACGAACGGCTCCGGCGGAGATTTCAATGGGATGATGATGGTCAAGTCGGAGGCGGCGGTCAGCGGAACCGTGCACCAGGAGTCGATGGATAACAACGAGAAACTGAGCGAAGCTGGTGGAGCGGATTCGACGATCTGCGGCTGGAGCAGCAACAGCAATGAGGTGTTCGAACAGTGTCGCAAGAAATCCGGAGCGACAAAATCGGCGTCATCGAGAGCGACCAGATACCGCGAGATTTTAACTTCGGAGACTAATAATAACAATACGAGAGATGCGGAGGTTGTCCGTGCAGCAATCGTCGAAGATGTTGACAATAATAGTGATGATGATGATGATGATTATCATATGGATGGCGAGGTGTGCACCGGTGATTACAGGGGGCGCCTCGTGCGACTCCTCGCCAATTACTTTTGGGACCGTTTCAGGAGGGCTCACCGGGCCATGCATCATTACGTGCTGCGTTACGTTCTGTTTGTTTGAAATATATACATCTTGTTTGTTTGTTTGATTATTGTTAGTGTCAAATTTGAAATTCAAGAGATCCGTCATTTGCGCGTCATCGGAGTGTCATCATTAGGAAGAACCAAATTACACGTGGCCAAAGGCTGAGGTACGGAGGAAGGATGCAGCAAAATGCGTTCGAATACAGGGGAAGGCCGCGGCCGTATCCGATGCAGGGCTTCGCGAAAGTTTACAAGCAGCAGAAGGTGGTGCGGCACGTGGACTCCGGGTCGGAGATGGTGTACAATCTGAGCGAATCGCAGCAGTCGAACAAGAGCCACCTGGAGGAGGAGATGTCGAATTACGATCAGCCGACGTTGCCGTACTACGTGGTGCCGGTGCTCTACGTACCGAAACGCGTTCTGCCCAACGACGAGATCGTCTCGAAACCGACGGCCAAGTACTACCCGCACCTCCCGCATCACAGCAATCTCCAGAAGACGAAGACGCCGTACTACGAAGGTGGCGGCGAGCAGCAGCGCTCCTCCTATTACAACATGCAATACGCGGCGAGCAACACCAGCAATCTGAAGGAGTCTCTGTCGACGTCGTCGCCGGTCGCTCAGAATCCGCAAGAGGCACCCTTCCAGGAGCACTCGATGAGTTTCACTAAGCTCAGCTCCAACAGTATTCGGCCTCTGAAGACGCAACCTCGCAATTCGTTTGAGTCTAGTGGAAACGAGTATTACTATCTGGACAAGGACATGTACAAGCAGAAGTCTGCATTCTATCAGCAGCAGCAGCCACCGCCGCCTCCTCCGTCCGTCTACACTTATCCGTACGAGGTGTCGCCGCGACGCAGCCTCGGCACGCAGACCCTCAACTTCAAGAAACCCCTCTCGACGACCTCCACGCAAACCACGCAGGACAAGGCAAAGGAGGAGCGACAATTCTCGACGGTCAACAGGAACAAGTGCAACATCCTCAGGCACACAGTCGACCTGGACGACATCGGAGATGAGAAGGAGCTCGTCGATGCCATCTACAAAGCACCCAGGAGGCACTCGGTTAGTCCACCACAACAACAACACGTCACATCTACAACACTTTTAACAATTATATATATATCTATTGTTTAGAAGAAGAAAACACCCACCTCGCAGAACGTCTATCAAACGTTGGAGTCGCGAATGCCGTCGCCGACGAGGCGTAGGAAATTCTGAATCGTCGTCGTCGTCGTCACTTTCCCAATGTTTTAAGTTTTAATTCTGTAAATTTTCCCTTTGTTGTGGTATAATATACAATCCAAACAATCCCAAACATTCCTAAAAAAAAATGAAACAAATTAGTGATGATTCATTTTACTTTTCTGTTCGTCTTCAATAATTGAAAGTTGGATCGAAGTCGACTCGCGTCCGAAAACATCAGACATACAACAGACTTTTTGACAGTTTTTTTCTCTTCTTTTTTTCCCCCGTCACTCTCTCAGCGGTTGGGAGATGTTGCAAAATTTTCGGTGTGTTTTTTGACAAGATAGAATTGGTCATCGATTGATTGACGAATATCAATGCTAAGATGAGCCAAACCGAGAGACTCGATGAACCGACGGACACGTTCGACTTTTACTTGAAGTTCGCCAAACCGCTGGTGCTCAATCTCAAAGATCCAAATGGTGCGAATTTAATTGAAAAAAAAAAACAAAATCGATAATAATATTCGTGCGTTTTGTTGTTTGCAGACAGGGTGATTGCATCGGCATGGGTGCAGAAGCTGAAGGACGCCTCGATCGGATCGGAATCCGTGCGCAAAGATTATCTGAAGCTGTTGCTCTTCGTGCTGCATCGAAGTCGACTGATCGGACCGTTCTTGGAGAATCCTGCTGCCTACACGGATCTCAAGAACTTTCCCGCTGACTTTAAAGTTAAATGTTTAAACGTTCGAAAAGGAAAGAGTGTAATTATAAATTGTACTTTTCCGTAGATACTGGATGTCGCGAAAGATCTGATCCTGAGCGATGAACTCGAAAGGAAGAAACGCATCAAGAGCGGCCTGGCGAGCGGTGATTATCCACCGTACAGTGTCGAATGCTCTGCGGATCTTCTGGAGTACGCGGCCGCTCAAGACATACCCAAATTCGGGGTGCACGCGTATTACGCCATCTCCTTGGAGCCGATCCCCAAATGGGACAACACCGAGAAAGGGGTTCTGCCGAAAGGTGAGACTAATTTATATCTTAACATAGATTTACACTTTTAAATAAATTCTGTTTGACTAGCGGCCATCGAGGTGCTCGAAAAGTCGATAAGGCAGGTGAGTTCGACGTCCGAATTGGAAAAGGGGGCGCAAGGTGAGACATCGTCTAAATCGACGAAAAAGTCGCCGTTCAAGGCCATGTCGAGAGGTGGTGCAACGCCCAAGCTGTCGCCGAAATCACCGAAGAGCGCCGAGGAATTGCCGTCTCCATTCCAAGGGTCGGTGGTCAATCAACCGATCATCAAAATATCATATACTAATTTGCTGCTGTTCTTTAGGACACCGAAAAGATCTGTTGGCGAATCACCGTTCGGACTGTCGGCGGCGATCGACGATCGACCGCGCGTCACCTGGGGCTCGAATTTGATCGATGTGACGGAACCAGTAACGGATCGCGACGAATCCGTAACTTCTATGGGTATCATGGAAGATAACATCGATGACTTCCTCGTGGAGGGTGTAGGATCCGGTGTGTTCGGTGAAATGTCGGGCTCCGGTTCGCCGGCGGGTTCGACGCCGAGATCGCTGCAACAGTCGAGCATGTACGGGGCAAGCTTACCTTACCAGACGCCGCCGCCGAGAGGTGGGTATCCGCCATCGCCTGCGCCTAGTCTACCGTACAGGACACCTCCGAGAATGGACTTTGATATGACCGCTGGAAGCGCTCCGTATATGACGCCACCTAGGAGGATGGACTTTGATATGACCGCCGGAAGCGCTCCGTATATGACGCCACCTAGGAGGCTCGACTTCGATATGACCGGAGGGAGTCTTCCTTATCTGACGCCACCAAGAGGGGCGCCATCGCCGGCACCCAGTCTGCCGTACAGGACACCGCCGCCACGTGACAGTTCGAGGGAGCCGATAGACGTTGAAATTGAACCGCTCACAGCAGACGCCCGGGAGATTATCGAGGAGGCCCACCAATCGATGAACATGGCGGGCATGGATGAAGGTTCCGTTCCGTTTTGACGATTGTAATTGTAACATTTAATCTTTTCTAATACTAGTAGCCACCACGTCCGGACAGTCGATGGAGCAGATGTTCCCGCATATGCAGGAAGCTGACCCCTGGTCGCAGATGTTCTTTGATGCGCAAGCCGACGACTTGATCGACGACGAGGAGGAAATCAGTTTATCCGATGACATGGAAGTTACCGCAACTCCGGTGGAGACCGTCGATGATAGGATGAGACAGTTGATGCTCGAATTGGCGGACAGGAAGAGTGCGTCGCCAGTGGCAGGTGGCGTTGCCGCGACTACTCCGAGGTCGTCGCCATCACCGGCCCGCACGAAGATGTACGGCCAAGACTTTCCGCTCTTCACCGAACTGCTGCCGGCTTACGAGAGTCCGGTCAGGTCACCTATGTCGGCGGTACAAGAAGCGGCCGATGAGCAGTACGCGAGTCTCCGCGACAGATCGCCATCACCGAGGCAACAGCGACAGGCGTCCCCGAGGGCACCGACGCCGAGACAACCGTCACCCGTCCGGGACCCTTACACAGATTCGTTTGGATTGCCCATAGTGCATACACACGACTCTCCACTTAAAGAAAGGTCACCATCGCCGTCGTCGCCAAAGGCCAGGTCTCCGCCGGCGGCGCAACAGTCTCCGGTCGCCGGACCATCGACCGCCGCCCGATCTCCAGCTGCCGGACCATCGCCCGGCGCCCGTTCTCCAGCTGCCGGATCACCGAAGTCCAAATCTCCAGCTGCCGGACCACCGTCGCCGGCGAAATCACCCAAAACTGAAGCTGACATCAAAGAACTTGCCGAAAATCAGTACAAGACGCTCATGGAATCACCCAAACCGGAGAAGCCGGCACCTCTTAGTCAAGAAGAGGTTGAGGCGTTCGAAGACTCGCAGTATGCGACGCTCTACGAATCGCTCATAGCAGAACCGGAAGCACCAGGTACGCCGGGCGGGCGTAGTCCTCGTCACGCGCATCCTGCCGATCTTATGGGAGTTGAGGCGCCCGTACACTACCAATCCCCGCAACAACCGCACTTCTTCGACGGTGAAATACCAGGAAATCTGCCGTCACCGATAGGCGCACACCATCAATTAGGCGGTTGGCAAACGCCGCCGAACATGAGGTTGCAACCACGAAGAACTGCTTCTCCGATACTGCCTCCTATGGTCGCCTACTTTGGGCAAGATTTACTCGGTCAAGAACAGTTTCCCGCTGACGAGGAACCGCCGAGATCACCAGAACCACCACCACCGTCACCACCGACGCCGCCAGCCAGGTTCGCCTACGAAGAGATGGCAGACCCGTTTCAGCTGGACGCGGACTTCAACGAACCAGTGGATGATATAATGGACGAAGAAATGGCCGCACTCGGCGGAATGGTCGCCGCTCACGAGATACATCCCTTCCAACCTGGCAGGAGAGGGATATCACGACGAAGAGGCACACCGATGCCTCGACAGGAACCGATCGACGAAGAGCCCGAATATCTGATGCTGCCGTCACCGGAGCGAGCGAGTCCACATCGCTCCTTTAGCGAATACGACTACCTCTTGAGTCCCGATCAGACGCAGCCACAACAGCCGCAGCAGCAGCAACAGCAACAATCTCCAGGACAAGTTGCAGGACCTAGCATGCGATCGCAGGCCGAAGAATTGTTCATTCAAAATTTCGACAATCCAGATCATCAGGCAATGATGAGACGCGTCATGGCGTTGGTGGAGGACGTCGAGAACGAGGCGCTCATCACCGAAGAGGATGTGGAAATCTTGAAGGCCGCCCATCCGTTGTCAGCAATCGAAAGTACAGATGCAGCAGGAATGATGGCGGTATCTCCGCCCAGGGAACAGCGGGAGCTCCTCGAGTTGAACGATATGGAAGGACCTATGTCGCCGTTGCAACAGGATATGGAAATTCCAGAATTTAATTATCAACAGAGTGATTTCATGGCACCTGTGCCTCAATACCAGCTACCCTATGAATTGCCACAGTCGAGGCACGTCTTCACGGAACCGGGCGAAATGGAGGAGCCGGAGCAACCGTTTCAGGAAATTCTGGCCTTCGAGGAGGCTCAAGGTCAACCGCCTATGCAGATACAGGATATGGCCGTTGCACCGTCGCCGTCCCCGATTAGGAGAAGGATACCGACGCCCGGAACATACGTCAGTCCACCTGGAAACATGGTCGACTTCTTTATGGAGAATCTGAACAGACAGCCGGCGCCGTATCGCGAGGGACCGACCACCGTCTTCACCGGTGGAAGACAGCAGATGGTGCACAGAGATGCGTCCAGGCGAGTGCCGAGGATGCGGAGAATTCGCGAATTGCCGAACATGGACGAAGAGGGTGTCAATTTCATGGAGCACGTCGAGAGGGCGAGTCAATGGTATGGGAAGGGCAGCACGCAGGCGGGCGTAATGCCAATTGACGTGACGAGAAACAGAGAAAGAATGCAGCAGAGGAGAGCCACCAGAAATGTCCTTTCCAACACGAATCTGAGGACGGTGACGGAGACGCAGGAAGTGTCTGAGCCACTGATATCACCGCTGCAGCCTAGGGGACAGGCTAGAATCAAGAAAAGGACGGTGCGCAAGAGAATCAACTTCGATCAGGACAATCCGAGCGGATCGCCGGAACCGCAGAAGCAGGTCTCGCCGATCCACGAACCATTGCCGCTGCTACCGGATAGACCATTACCTCCACCTAGAGCACCACCTCCGCAAATGTCAACATCGCCAAGAGCGGGACCATCAGGAGCACCACAGCCCAGTAGACGCGTACTTTTCGGAACCCCGCCGAGACCTGAAGGTGATCGACCGAAGCCAAGAAGGATCACTCTGTTCGGATCGCCGCTGCCGGAGGGCGAGGAGGCATCGCCGACGACCGCCAGCTCTATGCTAACGATGATGAGACATGCGGATTTGCTGCGCCAACCGTCGCCACAGCAGGGCGACGACATGATGGGCGCGTACGGAGCAGTCCAGGAGGCGAGCGCTCGCCACATACTCGACGACGACGACATACCACAACAGCTGCCGTCGCCGATGAGGGCGCCCATTGAAATACCAGGCTGGCAAACGCCATCACCCGCGCCCAGGGCGGCATCGCCGAGACTTCCACCGGCGGCCGGACCTTGCGGACAAGCCAACCTTATGATCGAACAGCCACCGCTCCTAGATGATGACGGGATGCTCATGAGTCCAACGCAATCGCCGATGTTGGCTACGCAACGGCAATCCTTCATGCCAAGTCCAGGACGAGCGCAAGCACCGTGGCCAGGTGGAATGAGGACGGTCACTTCAACAACAACCACAAAAACCCCGGAAATGACCAAGACAACAAAAACAACAAGGACTACGCCGAGTTCCCCACAACCGCCACCCCAATTTTCACCGTCGCCGCAGCAGCAGCAGCAGATGATGGCCAGACAAATGTCTCCGGCGATGGAGCAGCAGCAGCAGCAGCCATCGCCACAATCGTATCAGATGGCACCACCGATGACGCCACGAACACCGGCGCACGTTTCACCCAGACCGTCGCCGTACTGGACGGGCGGAACGCCGATGCAGACACCACCCTTCCAGATGATTCAGCAACAGCAGACGCAACAACGCGCGATGTCCTCACCGGCCAGTCCAGGTGCATGGGCTAGAACTATAAACGACATGAGCACGTTGCAGGATGATTTCGACATTGGAATGTCCCCGCACCTGGTGGAATCACCGCAGCAACGACCGCCTGAAGAGGAATGGGCGGATATAATGGCTCTACCACGAGATGAGGCGCAGGTGCAAGCACGGTACGGTCATCTCACAACCGCCGATGACTACGTAATGCCGGAGGCTCGCAGAAGAACGCCGAGACAGGGCACGTTGTTGGAGAGAGTCGAACAACTAGTCGCAGACGTGCCGTCTCCAGAGATGCAATACTCCAATCAAGCTTCGCCGGTTAATACAGTACAGTATTCGCCATACCAATCTCCACATTGGACACCGACACTGCCGCAGGCACGAGCAGCGGCGGCCGCCACCGGTTTCGACGGACTCTCCCCCATGAGACCTCAGGCCGCTGGAATCACCAATTTGGAAGTGATCTCTCCGGTTCTGGCGATGTCCCCCAGATCACCGACCGCCTCTCCCTCACCAAGGCAATCACCTTGTCCTCAATCGCCGTGCGGAATGAGTCCCGTATTCGCCACGTCCCCTCAGACGCTGGGAGTAGTACCGTTTCTTGGCGAAGAAGCAGAACCGTACGATCTACCGAGTTCACCGCAAATGTCGCCGCCACCGCGAGCTATCCAAGAGGACATCCAATACAGTCCGCCCGCTTTCCAATCGCCGCCCAGATCGAGAACACCGTCACCAAGGGTACCGACGCCAAGGGCACCCACACCCAGAATGCCGACACCACCGATGGCGCAAAGTCCTTGCAGACCGGCGACACCTGGATCACCGCCAATGACCATGACGGCCGCATCGCCTAGGCGATCCCCAGTTGTCGGCAATTTGGTAGCGATGTCGCCGCAACAGCAGAACCAGAATCAACCTTATATGGTCGAGACGACGGAAACTGTGGAAGAGTACGGACCGGAAAATATAATGGATCAGTTCATGACGAACGCAGAAATGATGCAGCAACCATCGGCTTTGACGGAACGTCAGCTAGATTGGCAGTCGCCACCGCCGCCAGCGCGCGTCGCACCGGCTTCACCGTACCGTCCCGAACTGCATCTGCCGGCGGCGAGGAGAACATTGGACATGATGGCTGCAGTTCCGAACGATATGATGTTCATGAACGAAAGTTTGGAGGATCCACTGCAATCCCCGCGAACACCAACTCAAGGGATCTTCGAACAGGCAGGTGCTGACGGTGGAGGACCTGGACTATTCGATTACGATTATCCAGATATGTACGACGACCCGTTATCGCCGATGTATCAAGACGGCAGTGGTTGTGGCGGTGGTGCCTGTCCCTCCTCCTCCTCTCAATACTACGACCAGGGAATGGATATGAATGAAGATGAACAGATGTTGCAGCAACGTATGTCGCCGATGGCGGGACCGTCGCATCAGCCGCACTCTGTGACGCCCGGCGCTTCGGAGACGACGATGAACGAGGAGATCGTGTACGGAGCGAGCGGACAACCGCACACCATCACCAAGGAGACGACGACCGTCTCACCGGATGGCCAGGTTCAGGAGGAATACGAATACACGGAAATGATGGATGACGGACAGGGACAGAACCAGCAGCAGCAAGGCGACGACGATGGTTACGGCTATGCGGATTAATTTGATTCTCTTCCATCTTACGTTCGATAACGATAAAAAAAAAACTAGAAATACAACAAAAAAAAAGTGGATTATGTTTTTTGTAATAAATAAAACTATATATATTTCGTAAAAATAAACCAAGTGCAAAAGAAGTATTTGTCAGAAGTGGGATTCGAACCCACGCCCACAGAAGTGGACTGCGACCTGAACGCAGCGCCTTAGACCACTCGGCCATCCTGACTCTATACAAAATTGTGTCGATGAAACTGCAATTAATAAATGATTTCAATTAAATAAACATAAAATTGTAGACGTATTGATATTATGATTATAAGAACTTGCAAAAGTTGTAAGCAAGGAGAACACGGGATGAAGAAAGTACATCAAAACAATACGATCAAGTGGATATTTGCATGTTGCGAATAGGCAACCAAAAAAGCAATGGGTTTATTGAAAGAGAATCCAATCATATTTGTATTTGTTGTTTTGTGGGGGACGAAGGACGATCTACATCTACGAAATGTCTTGGGTGGACATATGGTGAACAGAGTGGAGCGAAAGTAATATTTCTTGTCGGGTGTAGTGTTGGTGGTGTGCAGTTGAATTGGTTGTTGTTGCTAGTGTTGCAAGTGCAGTGGGCGCAACAACCGCGGCGACGGGCGCAAAAAGCACCTAAAAATGGCGGATGATGATGATGTTTACACATTAGACAATAAACAAACTTTGAAATCGGGCAGCAAGCAATGGGTGAAACTGAACGTGGGAGGCACCTGTTTCCTCACCACGAAGACGACGCTGTCGCGCGACCCCAACTCGTTCCTCTATCGTCTCATTCAGGAAGATAGCGATTTGATTTCAGACAAGGTGAGACTGAGAGATTTCATCCCTTACAACAATTCTATAAATATATATACTCACTCACTGATTGATCTCAAACATCTACTCTGCAGGACGAGTGCGGAGCATACATGATAGACAGGGATCCCAGCTACTTCTCTCCAGTGCTAAACTACCTGCGACACGGCAAACTGGTAATCAACAGGGGACTGGCAGAGGAGGGCGTTCTCGAGGAGGCTGAATTCTACAACATAGCTGAACTGATTACATTAGTAAAAGACAGAATCTACCATAGGGATAGTTTACCTTCGAAGGCTAGCAAGAAGAATGTGTACAGGGTCATCCAATGCCACGAGGATGAACTCACTCAAGTAAGCATCATATTTTGCTATTTCTATATATATTTGATTTGTTTCATTTTCTAAATTTTGCAGATGGTCTCTACGATGTACGACGGCTGGAAATTCGAGCAATTAGTCAATATAGGTTCACAATATAATTACGGTTCGGACGAGCACGCGGAATTCCTCTGTGTCGTGAGTCGCGAGTGTGGTACCACGGATAAGAGTGAGGTGGAACAGACGGACAAAGCCAAAGTTTTGCAACAGAAAGGATCGAGGATGTAAATGTGATATATTATGCACACAATACAACAACAACAACAAACAACTAAATGCCACAAAAGCTTGTCTACAAACAAACAAACAAGATACTTGTACGTATCTTGAATTTTCTGAAACATAAATAACAATAATAATGTATAAACGTCGATATTGGAATGAGGATATTTTATGAGGATGAACACGAATAAGAGGCTGGTCTGGATCTCCTTCGTTTCTATCCTTGATTTTGAAGTTGACTCCTCCACACAATTAACTCGCAACTGTACATATTTCTCTCTCTCTCTCTATCTCCACCCCCTCAATGTTCAGTTCTCCCGCCGCCCCCTCCACCATCCTTATATAAAACAATAAATATACGTTTTTTTATCTATTCAAATGTTTCATTTTACACAATTTGACCAACTTGATACATTTTCAAGAAAAACCATGACAAAAAAAAACAAAAATTAAAAATATTCCCATTGTATCACAATCATTTTCTCTGACTAATATGCATATCCTATTTTCTCTCTCTCTGTATCATTGAGTCTCGATTGAAGCACCCAAAGAAAGTTCGGTTAGTTGAAATGTGTAAATGGGAGTTGCGATCAGGAAGACACGATCTGCTTGAGAGGCCCCTCCAGATAGATGGCAAGTGCGTTGGCCTTCTCTTTCAGCAGTCCAAAGCCCACGTTGTTCCTGGCGTACAGACAGAGCAGCAAATGGGCGACCTGTGTGATGGCGATGCGCCCTTCCGCGCACTCCATCAGCACCACGTGAGGCCTGTCCTCACGGAAAACGTTCGAGCCGTTCTTCTCGTAAGCGCACCAAATGTTGCTCGCGATGGCAGCCGTCACCCTCGCGTCGCTGTCACCGTATCCGCTGTACGCCAACAGAGAACCCTCAGGATTCAGTAATCTGAAAGCAGCAATCTCAATATAAATATATAATATTCATACATGTTATTTTGTAAATACTAACAGGGTGTTCTCAACGCCGCCGGTGTTCGCCTGACTGAGAACTTGAGACAAGGCTTTTGGCTTCAACATTATTTATTTTTTTGTTGTTTGATCGTAGCAAGCAGAAGCGTCAACTGTTTGACACTGACAGTTGTGTGTTGTTGTTGTTGTTGTTGACAGTTGCAAAGTAAACAAGCTGCCAACTTAAACATATGCAAACTAAGATGGTTTAATTTGAATAATTCGGGGATTTGAATTCATCGGAGGTGCATTTCGCGAACGATCGCATTATAAAATAACACGTGGCGTTTCCAATACAAATTAACCATGATCAAAACGACTTGTACACCTGACAAGATCAGGTGCACAGGTGGAATCAGGCAGGCTTTTACCTTTACAACCATTTACAACGACTGCACATTTTTTCAATTTTTGTGTTGGTATGGGGTGACCTTGGTGTGGGTGGTCCACAACACTCGCATGCATCCATCCTTTACTAAGAAGGAAAGTCGTCGTCGCCGGCGCGCTCATTTAAATTCCAGCGCAGGTCTGCTTAACGCGGGTGGTCCTGCAGCGTCGTCTCACTTGCGCCCATACGATCGCGCCATTTCGCCACTCGCTCGCACCCGACAGCCTTTTTTTTTAAATAATCCCTCCGCACTCTCAACCCAAAGAAGAAAGACTTAAGCCAAAGCCAAAGCTTCGGTTCGCTGAGGAGAAGAAGAAGAGCGTCGTCGTCGTCGTGGGGCGTTGAACAGAGGAGGTTTTGTTTCAAACGGAAGTTGTTTTGTTTTCTTTTCTGCTGTATATATAGAAATATATTAGAAAAGAAAAGTATAGTTTTTCTTTGCCAGCGAGAAATTAAAAGTTTTCGTTTCGTGTACGGAAAGTCGCGGAGAAGGGAATATGTGCAGCGATTTTCCGAAAGACGGAAAGTTTCACCTGTCTTAAGTCGAGAAAAACAAAAGAGTGAGTAAAAGTGACTTTCTTCTTCAGTTGTTTATAAACATGATTTTCGAAAATTTCAATTTTTCGTTCAAAACAGTGAATTTCAATTATGTATTGAAATTAGTTGAAATAGTTTTGACTTGAAGTTTAAATGTATTTTCAAATATATTGTTTATAATGTGTGTTTGTTTTGTTTCAGTGATATACTGGATTTTGATGGTTTTACTCGTTTCCCTGGTCCATCGTATAGAGGCTGGCATCACATACAATTCGAATGTGACCAGGGCACCAGAGATCATCAAACGTTACAGAAGCAACGAAAGTTACATAGACAAATCCCTGATCGATTTGGACCTGAAGTATTGCCAGCGACCAGCCAGATGTGAATCGTTGAAGCATCAAACATGCATGGGATCGAAGTTGCCATATCAATCGACTACTTTGGATCTTACTGATCTGATGAGTCAAGAGGAGGTGCAAGAGAAACTCATGACCTACCAATATCTGAGGTACATACCGAAATGCTGGGCGGTGATCCAACCGTTCCTGTGCGCCCTGTACATGCCCAAGTGCGAGAACGATATGGTGAATCTTCCCTCGGAGCTGATGTGCAAGATCACGTTGGGACCGTGCAAGATTCTGTACAACGCTTCCATCTTCCCCGAGTTCATGCGGTGCGAGGACGAGAGGTTGTTTCCGTCGCAATGCAAGAATGACGTGCACAAGCTCAAATTCAACACGACCGGTTTCTGCATGGAGCCTTTGGTGAGGACGGAACAAGCCAATTGGTTCTACAACGGTAGTAATTTAACTAAATAAATATTTGCAAATTATTTATATATACTTTTCAGATATCGAGGGATGCGGTCTGCGATGCAAGGACGCTCTGTACACGGAGGACGAACATTTCCAAATACACAAATTGATCGCTTGCTGCGTCATCGTGTGCATCGTGCTGATACTCTTCACCGTCGTCACATTCGTCATCGACTGGAAAACGGCGAACCCGTACTACGCGTTGGCCATCTTCTACACGAACGTCTGCTTCCTCATTTCCTATCTGGGTTGGTCCGTGCAATTCCTCGGCAACGACTATCGCGAAGGCGTGGTCTGCAAGAAGGGCGGAACTTTGAGGAGATCCGAACCGTCGGCCTCGGAAAACCTGTGGTGCGCCATCGTCTTCGTGATGGTTTATTACTTTCTGATTGCCGGTATGGTCTGGTTCGTCGTCTTCACCTACACTTGGCATATGAGCTGTCTGCAGGCCCTGGGTAAGATCCAGGAGCGAGTCGACAAGAAGAAAGCCTACTTTCATTTGGTCGCATGGAGTCTTCCTCTTGTTTTAACCATAACGACGATGGCTCTCGGCGAGATCGACGGCGATTACGTTGCCGGAATTTGCTTTGTGAACTCTTCGGCGCGCACCGGACTTTTGCTGACTCCTCTCACTGCTACCATTCTCATCGCCGGATATTTCGTGACTAGAGGTAAACTCATAAATATAAACGTATATGCAGTTCAGTCAATATACTTTACCTTTGCAGGATTGGTTCTGTTGGTGCGCGTAAAGATCGAGAGCAGGGAAATCATCTCCGAGCACGCCAGCCACAAGATCCGTTCCAACATTGTACGGATGGGCGTGAATGCACTCTTCATGCTCATCATTTCAGTTGTGATTTTCGTCTACCACGTCTATCTTTCCATAAACACACCAGTCTGGGAATTGAGCCTCTACAATTTCATCCTGTAAGTAAAAGAAGTAATGTTAGTGTTAGTATTATTATCATTTCTTACGTTTTCTTGCAGATGCAAATTGACTAGTCTCAGTCCGGACAATTCGCATTGCCGCCAGGAGGACAGACCGAGCGTTGCCATGCTGCAGCTCTATCTGATCGCCGTTTTCGGAACTGGCATCGCTATGGCTTCGTGGATCTGGTGCAAGCCGACCATCCACGTTTGGACCAGATACATCCAGAGGTATGTAGTGTATAGTTAGATCTTGAACATCGTGCGATCATCATCATCGTCGTCGTCGTCATACAGATTTATTACTAGTCCCTACCCTCTCGTTTGTTTATAGAAAGTTTGATTGTGAAGTTGATGAACCAATGAAATTGCAGAAGCATAAGATCATAGCGGAAGCGTTCGCGAAACGGAAAAAGCTTAATCACGGCGGCCGAATCTCGATCGAGTGTCAGAACCACACGGATCCGGTCGGCCTGAAGTTCGATCTGAACAGCGCGGCGAGCAACGAACTGAGCACGACCTGGGCTCAGAATCTGATGAGATTCGTGACGAGACGGGGTGCCGTACCGAACGAGGTCACCTGTTCGGTGTCGAGCAACAACCAATCCGTCGACTCGGAGATGAGCTACAGCGTGCGGCACGTCAGCATCGAGAGCAGAAGAAATTCGGGCGACAGTCAACTGAGCGTGCAGATCGCCGAGCTGAAGGCGACAAGGAAAGTGAACGGACGTAGGAGACGATGCGGCGGTGGATCTGGTGGAAGGTACTCGAAGCAGAACGACTTCAGGAAGAGAATTGGTAAATCCGGTGGTGGAGGAGGTTCGAAACGTGGAAGCAGCACCAGTCTTGATTCGCATCTCGGTCATCAGCTGCTCAACGTGCTGGCGGCAAGCAACAACAAGGAGACGAGGAAATTCATTCCCAACATGAGCAGAAGATCGGCGAACGCCGGACTCGATGCACAGAACTTAAGCAAACTAAGCCAGATGCTCTTCAACAATTCCAAGTCCGTCAGCGAGGACGAGAACGTCTCGGTCACGATATCCGAGTCCAAATTCAACGTGATCGTCAATCACAACAACATGGACCTGAACGATCAGCTGGTGATGAAATCGCTGCACAAGGGCGGTGGCGGTGGCGGAGGAGTAGGAGGTCTGAAAATAGAAGAGTTATCAACGAGTGAGTCGGAGGAAGAAAGAAATCATCAGTACAAAGCGATTAATCAAGTGACGAAGAAAAAGTACAGCTGCGATTCGGATTCGGACAGCGATACGTCTTCGTGTCCAGAGCTCAAACAGCTCGTGCAAAGCTCCCTGAACTCCGGCAATTCCGTCGCGTATTACGAGAAGAATCGTGGGGGGTCGAAGCAATCGAAGACTTCGATAGACGTCGCCGTCCAGGCGAACGCCAAGGAGATCATGACACAGACGGGCAGCTACGACATGGAGATGAAAACTCTGAACGACGATTCAGATGACGGCCGCATCGTCGAGATGAAGAAATCCAAGCAGCTGAAAACCAAAGAGAACAAGCATTACAAGAACGCAGATGAAAAGTATTACAGTAAAGTCCACGAGGCTGAGGGTCTTTTGGGCATGGACAAGTACAGGCCCAAGATACGCAGCAAATCCAAGGAAAAATACTAAACGAATAACTCTATTTTGAATTTGTAAATATTTGACTGAATTTTCTGAATATTATATTATAATTTTGATAATTATGATTTTGTGATAATTGGCATTTCTATATTAGAGCGAATTAAACTCGAGTTTTTGAACAGTTTGCTTCTTTTTATTAATTCAAATTTTGTGTATATTTGGTTGCATACAACAACCATCTGCGGATGAAGCAAACAAGACTTGCAAGATTCAATAATAAAAATGTTCGATTACTTTCGTTTAATGTGTTAAAAAGGAGCGCGAGAAGAAAGTAATTGTACGTGGGTGTAATTTGAAAATGATTCTGGAATTGTTACAGTGTTGTCAAACTGTTGTAACTGTCAGATGTGAGTGCGTGGACCAATGAGAAGATTCCACAACACGGTGTAAAAGCAAGCACACGTCGGTCGGTTTTTATATAAAAATTTGGATTTAGTGTGGGAGCAGAGGACACGACAGTGGTTGTGGTTGTTTGTATGGAGTTATATTAGTATATAGTGAAGAGTCGGTCGTCGCAGTCGTCGTGTTTTGTAGAGTGTTAAAATGTTGTATAGTTGGTTAGTAGTTTTAGCGGTGGCCCTCCTCGCCGTAAGGGCCCAGGCTATTTACTCGTCCGGTTCGAGCGTGATCGACCTTACGCCAAGCAACTTCGATAGGCTGGTGGTGAACAGCGACGAGATCTGGATCGTCGAATTCTACGCCCCGTGGTGCGGCCACTGCAAGCAACTGGTGCCAGAATATCAGAAGGCCGCGACCGCCCTCAAGGGTGTCGTCAAGGTGGGCGCCGTCAACGCCGACGAGCACAGGAGTATCGGTGGCCAGTACAGCGTACAAGGCTTTCCGACCATCAAGATCTTCGGTGCCAACAAGCAAAAACCGGAGGACTTCAACGGCGCCAGAACCGCCGACGCTCTGATCGATGCCGCCCTCGCCGCGATAAAGAGCAAGGTTAAAGGTAAACATGGTTCATCCTCTGGTGGATCATCCGGTGGTGGATCGGGAAATGCCGACGATGTGATCGAGCTGACGGACAGTAACTTCGATAAATTGGTTCTGCAATCGGAGGACATGTGGCTCGTCGAGTTCTTCGCCCCATGGTGCGGTCACTGCAAGAATCTGGCACCTCACTGGGCTAAAGCCGCCACCGAGCTTAAAGGTAAAGTTAAACTCGGCGCTCTGGACGCGACGGTGCACACTTTGAAGGCGCAGAAATACGGAATCCGCGGTTATCCGACCATCAAGGTCTTCGCACCTGGCAAGAAAGATTCCGACTCGATGCAGGAGTACGACGGTGGGCGTACCGGAAGCGAGATTGTCAATTGGGCGATGGATAAACTTGCAGAGAACATCCCCGCCCCCGAACTGATCCAAGTGACAGATAAGAAGGGATTCACAGATGGTTGCGACTCTAAACCGCTCTGCGTGGTAACAGTATTGCCGCACATCCTCGATTGCCAAGCCGAGTGCAGGAACACCTACATCAAACTGTTGAAGGACATGGGTGAAAAGTACAAGAAGAAGATGTGGGGTTGGATATGGACGGAGGCGGGTGCTCAGCCGGAGCTGGAAAACGCCCTCGACATCGGTGGATTCGGATATCCGGCGATGGCAGTTGTCAATGCCAAGAAGATGAAGTACTCCATTCTTCGCGGTTCTTTCAGCCGCGATGGACTCAACGAGTTTCTGAGAGATCTTTCGTACGGTCGTGGAAACACCGCTCCGGTGAAGGGTGCAGAGCTTCCAAAGATTTACAAGACTGAGCCGTGGGACGGCAAGGATGGTGAACTGCCGCAGGAGGAGGACATCGATTTATCGGACGTCGATTTGGACGAGAAGGATGAGCTGTAAACAAAAAACAAAAAATATATGCAGCGATTCAATTTTTACTACCCTCAGGCTTGTTGTAATTAACTTTAAAAACAACAACAACAACAACAATTATCGTGTACAATACCTAATTAATATTAGAACTTTTCCACGTTTATTTAACTAATAAATTACTGTTTTCTTTTTCAATATGATTGTTTTATTTTAGATCCATTGCATTTTCTGTATAAAACAAGTGCTACCTCGAGTGTTTTTACATTTCATTGGTTTTCTCGAAAACTATAATAGATAGA